CAATATGAAGGAGTTGTGGTCCAATTGGCCTCAGAGAGAGCTCGATGGGTTGATGAAGATATACATACTGGCTCAATGGGCGTACTGGGCCCAGCAGGTCATTTCCGTCAATATTGAGGAAAAGCGTAAGGACTACGTGGAAATGCTAGTCCACCACGCAATCACGCTGTCTCTCATCGCCGCAAGCTACGCATATCATCAGACACGAGTCGGCCATTTAATCTTGGTACTGATGGATGTGATTGAGTTGATCTTCCCTGTGAGTTTAGTGGATACGAAAACGCTGCAGAGGATCCTTGCTAACAATACAACAGCTGGCGAAGTGCCTCAAGTACATCGGCTTCAAGAAGGTCTGCGACGTGGTCTTCGGGGTTTTCTTGTTTGTCTGGGTCTTTACCCGGCACGTTTTCTACCTCATGGTATGTTGGAGTGTCTACTACGACCTACCCAAAGCCGTGGAGATGCCGTGTTTCCGGGGCGCACCTGGCGAAATCGAGGGCCCATTTCCTGCACCAACAGAAGGCTGGTCGCATCTTCTGGAGCCATTTAAAGACTCAACAGGAACTGTGTGCTTCACTGACAGCGTCCGCCGAGGCTTCTTGACGTTTCTGCTGGCCCTCGAGGTCGTCATTTGCGCGTGGTCTTTCTTCATCATGCGCGTCACGGTGCGCGTTCTCAAGGGCGCCTCGGCTGAAGACGTCAGGAGTGACGTGGAGGAGGCTGAGGAAACGGAGATCGAGTACGAGGTGGTGGAGGCTGTTGAGAAGGAAGTGGGCGTTGATTCTATCGATCTCAAAGCATGGGAGCGTCGTAACGCCAAAAAGGATACGGGCTCGAAAGCGACTGGCGTCAGGCTTCGCAGCCACAGCGACCGGAAGGACTTCCTGAACAGGATTGGTTGTGACAAGCAGATTGATTGAGAAACATGACCGGGATACCATGGCTTGCGACTTTTGTGGACACTTCATCCGGGGAGAGTTTTGTTCGAAAAAGAAAGGTAGTAATTACTACCAAAGAGGTTCTTGCAACCACCATAAGAATCCAAGACGAGTCGTCAACACGACTACCGACGAGATTTTGTCTTGAATTCAAGAGCCATTTCAACGTTTTTTCCACTACATCTGCAGCACAGATCAGCTCCTACTCCAATTTCAACATGCACGATTGACGCAAGGGGAATGAGACATCTTTACCGCACGCTTTTCTCGTCGTTTACAACCCTATCAACCGCTAAATTTGGCGGAGGGAACAAAGTTGCATTAAATCTGTCAAAGCAGTACTACGCGGGGCTGGGAATCTCTTCCGCCTCAGCCAAGAATAACTTTAATGACGCTTTGTTCATATTTGGACGCATACTTTAGTAGCAGAAGCCGATCTAGGCTGCTAGATGTTGACTTTGAGTCTCAACTCCGTAGACCGGCTCACAGTGATCTTGAGTTGGAAAGGCAACAACGTCTGCTGGCAACGAAAAGTCTTAGAAGGGGCTTAATGGGGCATTTTGGCTTGGTATATATCTCTGGATATGACGACACAAATACGTTGACCCTTAATGTTCATGTCGGGCTTACTTGAATGAAGATGTGCAGCTTATAAATCCAATGACCACTCTACAACTATAGTCCGCCCTCGATTAAACGGTGCTGATGAGCGAGCACGTCTGCCAAATGAGGTGGACAGAGTAATTCATAGCTACAGGCGTGTCTCTTGGTCTTGAATGTACCTACCTAGGTATGTAGTCAATTTCAGGACAAGGACGGCTGACACCAAATAGGTAGCGGCAAATATTCTCCAATCTGTCGTCGCCTACCCATTATCGATGTGATTCCCCATGCTTTCTGTCATCTCTGTACTCTGAATTTCTTGTTGGCTGATTTCGCGGAGAGGACTGGGCTGACCAACCAGAACAGAATTCGGCCGAGCCTGGTGCCATGCAGTCATCAACGAATGCCAACCACAGCAATTGACTTAGGTACGCCCGGCTTGGTAAGCACTAGTGATCTGTCTGCTTCCACCTGGCCTTAACTTTGGATTATATGCCTGAAGCTCTATTTAAGGTAACTCGCAGCCCCAACCGGTATTTGGTTAGAATCCCTCCTTCTGGCATCTGTGGACCTCATAGATAGCAACTTACCGAGCTACAAGACTACGCATAACTTCAAGAGGCTCCACATCATAGAAGAAACTCTACGTCGCAGCTACAAATTCTTTCATGATGGCGTATTGCGACTTTTGTGCAAAGCTCACCGTTGAAACCCTTTTCTACCAGGATATCAAATTCCACCCCGATCTTAAATCCCTCAAGGAGAGCGCCGAAAAAGGCTGTGATTTCTGTGGCCTTTGTTGGGTCAGTATTAAGGCCAAATGCATGCCTCGGTATCTTACTGAGCTCCTCAACGGGGAAAGACCAAGCTCACTTGATGGAGACCAGCCATGGTATCCCAGCATCTGGCTTCATGGTCAAATCGTACCTGTTGCATCGGATAGTGCAGATGGCGTTTGGATCACTTGCGGACGAAGTCGGACATCGGTCGACTTGGGTTTGTCAGAAACCAACCCTCCCGGATCCCCACTAAGCATCAAGCTATCGTCTTACGCGTGAGTGTGCAAGATTCGAGCCCCATTCAACAAACACTATGTAGAGTTTCATCAGGCTGATAGATGCAAGTATCGATGGATCTGCCGCTGCCTCGATATATCCCGAACGATGCATCGCTACAGACCCCGACCCCGACCTGTACATCTCGTTCACTCTTTCTCGGCTAAAAGACTGCCGCGAGAAACACGCTCGCTGTGCAAGACCACATTCACTACAGATGCCCACACGTGTTATTGAAGTGGGAGCGAACCGTAAGTCCAGGCTTCGGGTTACAAATAGTCTTTGCAAACCATATGTGGCGCTATCTTATTGCTGGGGACCCTCGACAGATAATGTCAAATTGACGCACGACACTTACGATGATTTCGTCATCGAACTCCCGGAGCAGAGCCTAACAAAATCTCACCAAGAAACTATTCAGTTTACTCGGGCCCTTGGATTTAAATACTTATGGGTTGATGCCCTCTGTATTATCCAGGGTGACGAAGACGACTGGGCTTTTGAGTCCAGGCGTATGGAACATGTCTACGGCAACGCGGCTCTGACAGTGGTGGCCGCACGCTCTCCGGACTCCCGTGAAGGCTTCATAAAGGCTCTATCTGGGATGAAGCGACAGCCATGTCCGATTCCCCTATCGCCTTCAAGTGAGGATGTTCTCTACATCGATCGGCCTACCAATTTATCCATTGGTCCTACGACCACCCGCGGCTGGTGTTATCAAGAAGAGTTTCTCTCCAAATACACCATTCAATTTGCCGAGGAGCAGATCGTATACAATTGCCGGACCTTGAGCTCTTGGGAAGACGGTACGACTAAAGTCTGGGGCTCGCCCGGCATGCCGTCCCCTCCAGTCTTCCCATCCACGGCCAAAGATGTGAACATACGGAGGGAGCAAACGCTTACCATGTGGTATGCACAGATCGATAGGTTCACACTGCGCACTATATCCAATCCCCACGACGTTTTTGCCGCCATAGCCTCCATCGCCAAGCTCGCTGTTGGCGTTCTTGGCTCTCACTACGTTGCTGGGCTGTGGGAAGATGATATTGCCAGAGGCCTTCTTTGGAAACCGCGTCATCACGTACACCAAGGCTTTCATATTCCTCCTGTGCGCCCTCAGCCTACGAGGCTGGCCCCTCCACCGGTCGTAAGAGCACCATCATGGTCATGGGCCTCAGTCGAAGGCCCAATACACCACCAACACACAGGCAGGAAATTCAAAGATTTTGAAAAGCCGGGGTTCATCAAGATTAAGCCCCATCTGGAAAACGATAGATGGACAGTCGATGCTTATTGCAATACGGCTACTCTTCACATGCCACACTGCGAGCTTAGTCTGATTGGCCATGTTGCCAAAGCATCGGTTATGAACACACCGACGGCTGACTATGTTTCAAGCAAACAACGAAACTGGTGGAAGTACTGGTGGAAGAACAAGGCTAAACATTACGGGGTTCTGCTCGCTGACGCTGAAGAGACATGCGCAGATCATAGCACCTTGAGTGACAAAGTGGTCGACATCGGTATGTTTGATGTGCCCGAAGAGGCAACCAAGCAGGTTTGGTGTCTGAATATCATAGAGAGGGAAGGTTTGATGTTAGTCAAACAGGGAGAGAAGTGGCGGCGCATTGGTTGGTTTGCACTGGAAAGGATATCGTGGTTTGATGTCCGTCATGAAAGTCAAATTAGGTTAGTATGACACCGTACCGGAATGCGTAATATTATGAACATCTTTCTTCCCTTCTAAGTTTTCTTCTTCGTAGTTTGCCGCCTAGAGGCGCACCTTATTAACTACTATATAACTCTAATAGGGAAATATATAGAGAGTTATAGTATAACCTCTATAGCTAACTTATAGGGTATATAAAGGGGATTTTTAAGCTACTTAGCTAAGCTAGTAGAAATAGCTCTTTATTATATTATAGCTTATATTTAAAGTTCTCTAAGATAAATTTAATATATACTTCTTACTTAATTAATATAGTTTTTATTATTAGTAATATTAAATATTTAAAAAAAATTAATTTACTATATATTTAATAATAGCTTAATTATATCTTTATAGCTAAGAATAATAATATAATATCTCTATACTTTTTTATAATATATATTAAGTTCTTAGAAAACTTTTAGAATTAAACTCTTTATTAAATTAAATAGAGATTTAAAAAGATTACTAAAAACCTAAAAAATAAGAATAATACGAGGGAGATTAATAGGATATTTAATAAGAAGTATAGTAAATAGTTCTAAGAACTAATCGCTATTATTACCTTTATCTAAGGATATAGTAGTTAAGAAAATTAGCTTAGGTTAGGGTAGAGGAAAAAAAGGTCCTTATATTCCCTGTAGTTATATAAAAATTCACAAAAGAATTCTTCACAAAATGATATTATGAACATTTTCATACTCCAGTGTTAATCAGGAGAAGCCTTGTTACTTTCTCGATGGCTTCAACGATCTTCGCGATCCACTCGGTCACACCTTTCGTGTCTTCCGCCTCCATGCATTCCACGATCCCGGGAAAGATAACTCCATCGTATCCATACCAAAGTCCAGGAGCAAAGATCTGATAAATTGTCAGCGACCTGCTATTTAATCTAGTAAGAATGGTACTTGCCATGTGTCGATACCACTCTCTCCCTGGCAAGCCTTCGCCTTTCGGCAGTAAGAAATGACGGTCGAGATTGAGGTACTTTGTATTTACACCGCTTTCGGGTTGCAAGCTCGTTGGAGAAGCTTTGGTGTTCGATCTCGCGTCCACTTCGAGAGCTGCAGCATGAAATCGACTGATCGCTCCGTCAAGGGCCGAGAGGTCAAGGAAACTGCCGTATTTGGTCTTCAGCTGTTTTGAGTGATGCGCAAGAACCTTGGGATACTCCACAGCCTCAAATATGATGCTTCCAGTACCAGCGAGCCGAACAGTCAGAAGTCCCCACAGCTGAGCCATGGCACGATGCTTCTTGAAGCCCACGTCACCAAACTTCTCAACCCAGTAGAAGCTGTCATAGTTGGAGTGATAAGGATAAACTCCTTGGCCCTGGCGATTGAACAGAAGATCAACAGAGGGAATGCCAAGATGGTTGAAGAAGACTGTGTAATCGCTCCCGGTTCCCATGAGGTCAAGCACTGGGGTCGGACGCCCAGGGTCGGTCCGACGTTGATCACCAAGCCAGTCATCGTAGACAGTCTTGCCTTCGTGGATTGGCGACCGGATCAATTGGGTAACATCCCTAAGGACACTGGCCAAAAGGGGGCTACCAGTGACTCCGAGTACTTGGCCGCCATTTGTAGCCTCGTCGACGTTGAGGTCTGAACAGGAGTCAGTCATGGCTTCAAGGGACAACAGATTGCTAGACTTACAAGCTACGCAATTCTTGCTCAGTTCTTCCTGGTGATGCTCACCCCATTCGGTGGAACCCACCAAGCCGTACTCTTCATTATCCCAATTTGCCAGTATTCTACGTTCATATTAGCTGTCAGATTCAGCAGAAGTAGTCAAATATCATTCCAATTTTTTGAACACTTACATCTTGCGATATGGTCTCCAACCTCTCTGGCACAGCTCTCCCAAAGCGCGGGCGACCTCATTCATAGCAGCTGTTCCGCTGACAGGGTCAATGGCACCGCAACACCAGGAATCGTGGTGATTTCCAAGAACAATACTTTCGTCCGTCAGTCCTCGAATCGTTCCTATGACATTGTAGATCGGAGCGTATTTGTAAGTTCCTACCCAACATCAATCAGCATTAGCAACTCTTGCGTCTTCAGTTATTAAGGTATGCATTGAAAACTTGCTAGAAGCATCATTAAGGGTCGGGGTCAACGCAGATGCACTTCAAGTGGGATGGATTTAGGGTTGACCATCTCAGACAGGAAAGGACCCTTACCATGGTTGGCTAATGCGACTTGGACTTTGCTTGGTCCCGTGAAGTATTTTACGTCAGTAAGGCAACCTTTCCAATCACTCCCTTCGCCGGCCATGGAAAAGGGACTCAAACCCTGTCCATTCAGGGCTTTCAAGAATGGAACAGCGTCGGCATAGGATATCGGAAGAGATGGTATCTTCGGGGTTGCGTGTCCAGGATCTTGGCGTTCGACGTTAGTTCCAGGCAAGCTTGGGTACCCAGGGGTCGTAGGGTCTCCGACAGCTATCGAGAAAAAGTCGACGCTTCCTCTCTGAATAGACTTGGGGTGTCTGGCTGGTCCATGTGGGAAAGGCTTGTAACCATTGGCCTCGGTGTACTTCCCGTCTTCTTGTGGATCGTTGTACAATACAACAGCAGCAGCACCGTACTGCTCTGCCGCCCGAACCTTCAAGCCTCTGAAGACTTTGGCGTACTTGCAGATGACAATCTTCCCCTTGACTGAGATCCCCTTTGACTCAAGAAGCTCAAAGTCTCTCAACTCGCCAAAGTTTGCGTAAACTAGCTCGGCGCAGGCCTCGCCATTGGCGCTGAAGCCGTGGAATGCCGGGAGACCATTCTTAGGTGATGACGTGGGGTCTTCAGGAACCTCGTCTTCTGTCAATGAAGCTTCGAATGCTACTTCTCGGTCGGAGTCGAGGAGTTGCAGGCTTTGTGACACGGGAAAGTTTTGAAGCACATCGTATTGTTCCAGTTCCGTGGGAATGCCGTATGATCTCCAAAGATCTCGGATGCGTGTGGCGTGGGCCAGATCGCCGGCGAGATGGGGTTCCGCGCTGTATTCTTTGGACCAATGACGCAGGTTGGCTGTTGTAGGTGTCTCCAGCATTAGCTGTTCTGCCTCTTGTTGAGTCACCTTGATCTCCATGGTGGGTGTTCACGTTATGAGAATCGATAAATCCCCGCATGGGGAAACGCGACGTTCGAAGGTCGTCCAGAGTCAGCTCTATATGTAAGGGATCTACTTGTAGCAGTCTATTCCTGCCCCACCAAACGCGGGGACCTCGGAGACCCAGTCAAAGATAAGAGAAACAGGTGTTCCGGTGACTTGAGACAGCTTAAAATGTATACATAATGAGACGAAGATCGGAAATTGTTTTGGTTCATTTGTACGTTTTAGCCACATATATCTACGATCAAACGCATGAATATTTTGACACAATCAATATAGTCCACAATGTCGACCTTTTCGTCTGGCCGGGTGTTGTACTTCCCTCCGGGACCACAGACTATCCCCTCCATACCCAGAGTTTTGAAGAGATGCCCGGCGTCAGACCCGTAGAAACAAGTCGGCGCAAGAACACCAGTTGGTTGCTCTTGATTCCGAATTTCACGGTAAGTAAGCCTTATTCAAAGATGTCACAATGCGTGACTCGGGTGAAACCTCGAACGCAGGCATCGTCGGCTCAAATCTTTGGCTTACCGTCGCCGACATCCCGGGATATCTCTCAATTATCTTGTCGACCAGTTCCCGGATGTCAGTCATTACGCCGTCTTGGGTTTGACCGGGAGCATATCTCGCGCTCCCGGCGAGCCTGCAAACGTCCGCAACTTGAGCCGGCCGCCATTCAACCAAGTCCTTGCCAAGAGCACCATGAACAACGCCCACTGAACACCGGTTGCATTTCTCATGCTCGCTGCTCTTTGCCCCGCGGAACTTCATCTTGTCCATTTGCAAGATCAGCTCGCATCCAGCCAGAATGGCGTCAGAAGCCTCCTCTTTCGCGGACATGTGCCGCGTAACCCCGATGATTTCGATCTCAAAGACCAATGCTTCTGCATGCATGGTCACAGCTTTGATGTCTGAAGGCTCACAGTTGACGAAGTAGTCAGCCCCTTGTACCCGACCTTGATCAATCAGAGCCATAGTACCGACGCCTCCTTGGAGCTCTCCCACAACATAGGTCAAGACCACGTCGCCTTTTGGTCGCCATCCGCTTTGAAGAAGCGCTTCAACGGCACAAAAGTAGGCCGCACAGCCTGACTTCATGTTGCTGACTCCAATGCCGTAAATGAATTCTTCGTCGATTTTGCCCTCCCAGGGGTCCACCGTCCATCCTTCAGAGACAGGGTTCGTGTCCAGATGACCATTGAAAAGTAAGGTCTTGGGTGTTTGTGAACCTCCAGCAACTCCTTTTCCTTTCCAAATTCCAACAGCATTTTGTCTCCGGCCTTCGTCGAAAGCAAAGACATCTGCTTCCAGGCCGATGCTTTTCATCTGGTCGGCCATGAATCTTGTTGCCTCCAGTTCTCCATCAGTCTGAGAGTAACTCTTGATCTGGATGAGCCTGGAAAGAAGATCCAGACAATGCTCTTGGTCGATCTCCGGTACTTGCATCTTGGTATTCCGTCGTAATTCTTGATGCTGCCGTAGGTGTCGTGGTGTTGCAACAGGTTGCACTTTTGCTAATCAACCAGCAATAGTTAGTCAACAGACTTTCGTCCAAAGCTTCGAGCTGCTGTCTTTCTGTTCGTATGAACTGTAAAATTCGATGATGTTTGCGCATTACGAATCGCCGCGATAAGCCGGATATCGGTAACCGCCGAATCCACCGCAGATCGCTGTGGTTCCCCGAGGATAACTCTAACAACCCCGGACCTGGGGTTGGCTAGCGCGACTCTACTGACGATGCTCTTATCAGGGAAAACACAAGTCTGTAGGATCTTAGAGTCAATCCCTCTCTACTGTCCAATGAAGGTGTCAGCTAGCCTAGGCCCCCGGATGTCGATGTGGGACTCAAACATTCAGTCATGGAAGGTCCACGCCGTAAGTACTATTAGCTTTGATCTTGTAACAGGTTATTTAATTGTATGCAGATCGGGGTGGGTTTCCGTCAACACAGTCTAGCTGTGATTGAGCGCAGTCTTATCAAGCGAGACTGTATGCGAATCTGCCGACGTCGTCGGACCGGCTCCGATAACCCGGAAGAAGGATTAAATCCCCAGTTGCCACAAGATAAGCACCGCCAAAATGCTGACTCTAATTGACGGAGTCTGCAGTTTATCTCCGCACACGGCACCACAATTGATACGCAGTTCGGCACCTATGATCCGAGTGCAAATGGAACTCGAATGATGCCGCATATCTACTGCCGGGATCCTTGTTTGGGGAGAAAGGAGAACCATTGAATATGTGAACCAGTTTTCGATCACAAGCAGCAAAAAAAAAAAAGCGCACGACTCTGCACCAGAACAATCCTCTTGCCGACACGGCCACCAGCAACGATGAAGGACAATATCGAGGCGGCCCCAGAGGCACGGGACTCCGTTCTGGAGGAGAAGGGTGTTGTGAAGGACCAGAAGGCCGACGAGGGTTACGAAATCTTCGAAGAGGGCATCTCGCAGTCGATACCGCAGGATGTTGCCGATGCAGTACGACGCAAGATCGACATGCATCTGCTGGTGCTCATGTGCGCACTCTATGGCCTCAACTACGTCGACAAAGTCGCCATGGGATGGGCAGTTCTTTTCAACTTCAGAAAGGATCTTGGGCTTGTTGGTGACGAATACTCGTGGGCCAGTTCCATGTTCTACTTGTGAGTTCCTCGAAAGTCCAGGTTGCTAGAGGAGCCGCAGCTGACGTCTTCACCAGCGGCTATCTTGCTGCCCAGTATCCTGCCAACTACTTGCTGCAGCGTTGCAAGACTGTCCAGATTCTGTCTGGCGCAGTCATTGCTTGGGGAATCTTGATGCTTGCGTAAGTGACGGTCTGAACCTTGTTGCGTATCATTTTCGTTCTCTTCACTCCAGTTGGCCTCATCATGCACATCATCTAATGAGACGGGCAGGCATCTCGGTTTGAAAAACTTCGCCGGACTCATGGTGGTACGTTTCCTCCTCGGCGTCACGGAAAGTGTGGTCACCCCTGGATTCGTCTTGTACACCTCCATCTGGTACACCAGAAAGGAGCAAGTTCTCCGGACTATGCTGTGGGCCGCCATGCAGGGTGCCTTCTCCATCGTCTGCAGCTTGCTATCTTACGGCCTTGGTCACATCACAAACACAGCTCTCAAACCGTGGATGTACATCTTCCTCGTCCTCGGAATCCTCAGTATTATCGTCGGAGTCCTCTGGCTCCTGTTCATGCCCGAAACGCCCAACAAAGCACGGTTCCTTACTCATGAGGAGCAAGTCATCGCCGTCCAGCGCGTGGCCCAGAATATGACCGGTATCAAGGGCTATGAGTGGAAGTACTACCAGATGTGGCACGCCCTGATTGACGTCAAGACATGGCTCATCTTGGCGTTCGTTCTCTTCACTCAGCTTCCCAACGGCGGTCTAACATCGTTCGGAAGTCTGGTCATTTCGGGCTTCGGTTTCGACTCTTTCAGGACTCTCTTGATAGGTCTTCCGTCATCCGTGGTTAGTGCTGGTAGCATGATCGTATGGGGCACGATTTCCATCAAGTACGGAAACTTGCGAACTTGGGGCATGATCGTTCCACTTCTTCCCGCAATTGCTGGTATTGCTGCGGTCTATGGAACTATGGACACGGGAGCGAATAAATATGGCCGTGTGGTGGCTTACTGGCTGATCAACTCTTACGCAGTGACGGTAAGTCAGCTTGGTGTTGACAGAAGAAGGACTGTGCTAATTTGTCTGCAGTGGCCATTCATTCTCACGATCGTCGGACAGAATATCGCGGGGCACACGAAGCGTGCCTTCACCAACACTCTGCTTCTCATGGTCTTCGCCGCCGGAAACATCGCTGGACCGTTCTTCTTCCGTAGCCAGGACGCCCCGAAGTATGTCCTGGCAATCGCCATCATCTTGGTATGCTTCTGTGCGGCTCTTTTGACGGCTGTTGTTCTGAGGCTTTACATGACGTGGGAGAACAGGCGGCGGGACAAGAAGTATGGAGGAGTCGATGGAGCTCAGCGTGTGGACGGAGTCAGACTCGGAATGCATGACAAGACCGATCTGGAGAACCCTGACTTCAGATATGTTCTCTAAATGATTGAGAGTGTCTTTCCACGGCTTCCGATTGCTACTATGAATAGAACTCTGATAATCTTATTAAGACTTGGAAGCAAATCACTTCACCGAGACTTTCTATTGCTTTTGTGCAATCGCTTTCCCCATGGGTTCTTTTCTAAAGCCTAAGCGGGCCCTGCCCCTTCTCTCATGATCTGTGTCTGCCGCTTCTTCGCCTCCAGAGATGCATCCCTTGGATTCTTAGCTTCAAAGATCTCGTCCAACTCTTCCAGCGTGAAGCCTTTAGTTTCGACGAAGAAGAAGTACATGAAGGCGATTTCAAAACTATCCCACGCCACAAAGAAGACGTAGAACCAATACCCAATCTATGCAGATACGTCAGCACCTCACTCGATTACCCCCAATCATGAAAGGTGTAGGAAGACTCACGCTGGAGAGAGCAATCGGCCCAACAAACGTGTTGAGAAACCCGGCAGCGCCAGCCGTTAGCTTGAATGTGCCCATTGCCTTGGCTCGCATCTTGTTGCTGACCACTTCAGCCGGGTAGATGGGCTGCATGGGCGTGAAACCCGCGGAGAAGACGGCGCCGAAGACGAAAATGAAAACGATGCTGACGGTGGATGCAGTTGTGTTGCCATAGTCGGTGTAGCCGGCGGAGCAGCCAGCAACAATGGCCAAACAGACGGTCATGCCTGCCGTGGTGGTGATAAGCATCTTGCGGCGGCCAACAACGTCATGCAACCGAGATCCGGCGGTGGAGAAGACCCATCCAATGACAGAGTACACGATGTTCAAAATCAGTTTTGTGTTGGTATCGGTAATACCCACGCCGGAAAGCATGATGGGAAGATAATACGAGACTAAAAGAGGCCAAAGATCAGCTTTGATAATATTCAAGGATAAGGCTCATGGGCTTACTGATGTTGTTTCCGCTGAACTGTCCAAACCATGAGAACGCAACGTTGAGCATCAGTCGGTACCGGCTGGAGCGAGTCTCGACAAGCACTCTCAGATCGAAAAGGTCCCTCCATGATGGAACGTGTGCTGGGTCAACTGAGTTGATCATCTCTTTCATTTGCAAGTCGACGAGAGGGTGGTCGAGATCGCCATTGGTGTGGTAGGTCGCGATGATGTTCTTAGCTTCATCATGGCGATCCTTCGCAACAAGCCTGTCCATGTTAGAAAAACAGCTGTAAAAGGTGGGGTGCAGAAGACGGTTGAGATAGCCTAACTCACCAACGCGGAGACTCTGGGAAGAACTTGATCAGGAGACAGACAAGTCCGGGACAGACCATCTGCAGCCAAAGCGGAATTCGCCAATCCAAGTCCCCCTTGTCGCCAAGGTGCAAGTGGCATGCGTAGACTGCTGACGTCGCCAAGATCGAGCCCTGTCATTTCGTACATTAGGGTCAACTATCTTTTGACTACCATCCCTCGTGGAGGGTCGACGTACCACGTTGTAGAAGGTGTTGTACATGCCCGCGATCGTACCTCGGTACGCGGCAGGGGAGATCTCGACCAGATACAGAGGCGCTGAGGTATGGGCGCAGGTTGCTGCGAAAGACAAGATGAACCGACCGCCGATGAACATGGGAAGATTGGTGGCTAAGGAAGTCACGATGGTTCCAATGCAGACTCCTAAGCAGCCAAAGAAGATGTGCCAGGTTCTGCCGTACCAGTCTGCCATCCAGATGAAGAGCGCGCCGCACATTTGGCCGACCTACGATCAAGCGTCAGACCGCGTACGTGCTGGAAAAACATCACCAATCGTACCTGAAAAATAGCAAAGACTATGCCGGTGCTTGTGTTGCCATTGGAAGGCAATCCGAAATACGCGGTGTAGTTGGGTAACGCGTTGATGGAGCCCATAAGAGAACTATCAAACCCTTGGGAAGATTGTCAGTAGTGTAGGCTTGAATCCTATGCAGCTGCACACACCGTTCATGGTTGAACAAAGGAACACCATTGAGGCAAGAAGATACAGCTTCATGTACCCAGGTCCCCGAGGATCAGGCTTTTGCGTCGCCATGATGGCCGCGTATGTGTCGGCGCCCGTGTCCGCATCGTCAATGTGCTTGAGGACAGGGTCGTCCTTTGCCCGATCTCGGTCCATCATGCGCAGCTACAAGATCGACCGCCGTTCTTCAATCCGCCAAATGACTTTGATAACGGAAGAAAACAGAGACACTTTCCGAGGACGTGGAGCCAGGTAATGAACGTTGAAATCGAGCGCATTTGCCCTCGACACTCGCGCATGGGTGCTTCAAAAATTGGGACGCGACTCCTCTAAATAGGCCCAGGTGTTTGGATCCATCTCCGGCCATTTCCGCCCCCAGCTGGCTCCCTGTAAGAAGTTGGGGCCCCAGATTTGCATCCCCGGAGACTCTCCGGTGTGCGTGCGACTCAGTCCCACACGGGTTTATAAATCCTCGCTCTGCTTGAGGGGAACTACGGGGCTATGATCTATCGCACCACTTGGTTTCAGTCTAGACTAGCCGTTTTCTGGGTGGTGAGCCAACCATGCATCTGTGGATATGGGCCTTTGCCATCCATGTAAGCTCCATTGAGAGCATGTGGAACTTGAGCCTCCAAAGTGGCGAGTTGTTTGGTATGATTTTCTGAGAACTTGGCCTGTTGTTGCTGAGGTCGTATATGCAGGCCTCCAGCCCTTATTCACCTTGCATCTGTTGCGATATGGCGACATGCATCATTTGTTTGATTTCTTTATCTTGCAGGTACCAGTTGAGTAATCCAGTTTCTACATACAAATTATGACTATAAGTTTGAGAGTCTTCTTTTCGAACATCCTTCACAGCTTAGGCCTCAATTCTCTTTCTACCTCCTCGAGGCCAGAACTTCCGCCGAATAGCTGTGCCTGTAATCCATCTGTGTTGATCTGAGAGTCCCAGTGTTAGTGTGTTACTTTCAAACTCAACAGAAATACAACTCACATGTCTTGGATTAAGTTGATCAACACGCTCTACCCCGAGCAACCTCATTGCAGTGACTGTTTCATCTGCAAGAACTGCACAACTCTTTGTCAGTATCTTTCATAAAGAAAGTACTTGTTTAAGAAGGGAACTCACTTTGCAATGCCCTCTCAACTCCCGCCTGGCCTCCAACAGCCAAGCTATAAAGCGCGGCTCGGCCAATTCCAACACCCTTAGCCCCCAGAGCCAGAGCCTTGACAACATCCGTTCCTCTCTTGACACCTCCATCGATTAAAACATCGATCTTGTCAAGCACCTGCGGACAAAACTTGCGAATTTCCAGCAGTACTTGAATCGGCGTCATCGTGGTGTCCAGCGCACGTCCGCCGTGGTTGGAGATGATGATGCCTTTGACGCTCGGGAACAGCGTAGCCGCATACGCATCTTCGTGCGTCTGGATCCCTTTCAAAACAATCGGGATTGATGTGTGCTTGCTGAGCCATGCCAAGGTCTTCTTCCACGTCAGCCCCGACTCTGTGCCCCAGACCTGAGGTGGTGCTCCCCCGGCGACCTCGGCCATCTTGAACCGTTCGTCGGCCTCTCGTTTCCCGGGGAAGGGCGCGTCGAGGGTGAGCACGATGAACTTGATCTGCGGGATTGCGCGGATCTGGGCCAGCGTCCTCTCGGTTGCCTCGATGTCTTTCAGAACGTACAGCTGCCAGGCAAAGATCGCGTCTGGGCCGGCTTTGACGATCGCCGAGGGGGACATTGAGGCGTTCTTGCTGATGATCTGGAGCGCCTGGAATTTCGAGCAGGCTGCTGCGATACCTGCTTCTCCCACCGGATGCGCAAGTTTTGCCATGGCGGCAGGAGACACGTAGATTGGCATGCCGACTTTGTTGCCGAGAATTGTGGTTGATAATGAGCACCGCGTGCAGTCGACAAACACACGCGGCCTGAGCAGGATGGACCTAAAGATGGTGCCGTTTCCTACTTTCGTCACTTCGTCGTCGGTGCCGGAAGCGTAGTACGAGATGGCCTTTGGACTCAGCTTTTTCATCGCATAGTGCTCCATCTCTGATATGCTGAGAATTTGTGATACTGGAGGGACTGCTGCGTCGAGCCCCTGAGATGTGGATTCTGGCGGATCATTGGAAGAGCCTTCGCTGTCTGAAAGCTTCTCCATCTGTTCCACTGTAAAACTTCCCATAACCTGATCTTTTTTGAGATACTCATCGATGATCTCAACGGGATGGAACGAATCAAAAGCGTCAGACGCATCTTTGCCGGCGTTCTTTAGGAGAATTGCCTTGCCGCCAGGGTGGATTGCGAGGAACGCGGTGATCTGCCAGAACCAAGTCAACAATCTCGCTGCCGGCCAAAAGTTTAGAAATATTTTTTAATTCATGTTCTCACATCATACACCTTGCCGTGCAATGCAATCCAGCAGTCGTCGACGGTCTGATGCTTCTGCACTGCAGCAAGTTAGCAAGGCTTCAGACTCTGAGCAATCGCGGCCACATACCCTCAGCGAGACTCAACGCCCGATCCATCGTGACGTATTACTGGATCTCAACGGTTTCCTCATACATACCTCTCACCGTCGCACCAAAAAGACGCAGGAATAAGTCACGAGGTCATTCGTGACACGGCTTTACCCCGTGACCAAGTCGGCTCGTCTATTTGCCAGAACAGCACGATTCCCCGCCGCCGCGGTCCTCCACATGGTGCAATTTCCCCAATCCCTCGCAGGGATGCTAACACGGACTTTCAAATACCCAGCTGCCTCATTCGGATGCGGAGATGTGAGTCTCCTTACCCCAAGTGGGTCCCCTTCTCCGAATTGCACCACGGTCCAGGTGCAGGGGGTGCGTCCGGGGCCGAAGTCCTCGGCTTCTCATCGTGCCGACGACTCCCGTGTGAACGCGAATGTGTCGTTCGAGAACGACAGGACTTTCCGATAAATCAGACGATTTTTTTCAGATACGCTTGGTGTTGTGTTTGAGTTTAGTGCTTACATTACTCTAAACTGACATGCAATACAAAGATGCGTCTCTTACAGCTTGACTTGGCCATGCGGTGGTCTTTCATGCAACATTGAGAACGTTGCTTGCTGATTCCGAAGGTTCCGACTCAAGGACTGCGATGTTTTTGAGAAGAAGATATCAGTCTTGATAAGTTGGCCTAAACACTTGACCCCAGAAGTCTTTGCTGCGCCGGTATATCTCTCACCTATCTTGCTCCTGCAAGATTAACGCGAAGCCTAGAGCTTCGAGTCGCTTGGTCAACTTCAACACCTGAGTACCATGACATAACAAAACTAACTTAGACACAGCCATTCCGCACACAAGCAAAAGCCATGCAGTGTGCTATGCATGTGGCCCAAGGCTTCCACAGAGTGATGTTTCGAAATCTTTAGCAACATAAGCTGGTGTCAAGTCTCCCAACTGTCCTTCCTCTCAGTAGCAGCCAATTTTCTCGCCTTTAGATACCAGATGCGGCTTCCGCAAGGGGAAATAACTTGTAACTAGTCAACGTTTACAACGGGCGAGGTGGCGTAAGGCAACCGAGACAGCTCACGCGACCGGAATGTTGCCCACTCGACTCAGCCTTGCGAGGAGTCTCGAAGGCATTCAGGGAAGGTTTTGCGGCTCAGCTGGTTTTACCATGGCTTCGACCCAATCATTGCTCTCGAGAAATGGGCTTCAAGGCTTATTTTATTGGCGGCCGCTTGCCGCATGCACGACTTGCGGCTTGATTCCGCGCCATAAAATTCGAGTGGCTCTGAGTGGCCGTTTGTATCTCCCTCGGATGCCTGTCTGCCTGGGTCCTAGGTGAGTTTGTCTTATCTTCTTGATCTGGGCATTACACGTTGCTGGGGCATAGCACTGGAGCTGCCTTTGGGTTGAGTGCTGAGCCGCTCGGTCTGGAGGATGCCCGCCGAGCCTAAGCCACGTATGAATGCGATGTTGTTCGAAACCCTGAAGAAATGCAAACATGAAATGGAGGGATCTACTTCCGAGACAAAATATCAGCCGCACTCAACTTGGCGGTGAGAGAAGCTATTTAGATAGTTGGATTTCCCTCAATCTTTGCTGGCCCATTAACCCAGGTCTGTCTGCATCACTGTCTCGTTCCACTCTAGCCACTGCGCAGAACTACGTCGCGTTAAGGGGCTATCTAACGCCTCGAAACTCCACCTCACTTGCGTCAGCATGGACGAGTTCGGTGGTTACCACACCACTACACATGGCAACCCCCCCGGCGACGGCATCTCTCCAGTCCCAACACCTGCACCACGAGTGCGGTTCAGAAACGCCGCATTAGCTCCTAGAGACCTTTCATTGACTTGCGGTGTCGTGCGTGATCTCTCCTCAAGTCAGAGCATACCAATCCAAAGTAGATTCTGCACATCGGCTGCTAACCATGACACACAGTCGCGAGCCCTTACATATGCCCATCGTCGGCTCCCTGCCAGACCTCCGGTTCGTGGTTCGGATGCGGGTCCTCAACCAACCCAGTAACCGCATGCTACGATGGCACGGCGACTCAATGTCAGTCTGGCTCTTCGATAGGAATCGCAACTCGGTGTTGGTACGTATCTCCAAGTCTCCTGCGCCCTTCTCTAATTTGGATATGGCGTGCGATAGTTGCGAATGGCCAGATGCTAATGCGGCAGGGAAATTTTCTTTTAGCACGGTGACCTATAGTGGTTATTCGCCACGATGTGTAACTTACAGTAAATGGGTGTCCCCCACATACGCGACATTGAAAGGTTGCTACAATGACGACTGGGCGGTCGGCACGTCGAGGACTACGTTCGTTATGGCGGATGTGGTCTCGTCCACCTCGTCGACCACCTCTTCGACCACTTCATCGACGCAAGGTACCACCCGTGCTGTGACGGGTGTTATAACGACCCGTACTGGGACGGCATTTATTTCGACACCCTCATTTCCACTGATATCTCCTGCATCCGACTCTTCGCCATCCTCAGCCCTTGCCTCAACTACTTCGGACGCATCATCCTCGACCTCAGACCAGTCTCACAGCAACACCGGTGCCATCGTCGGCGGAGTCGTAGGCGGCGTTGCCGTAATCGCACTCGCAGCATGCATCATCGTCTGGCTCATTGTGCGTCGAAGAAGGGGAGCCCGCACCAACGAGCCACCTGCTCCAACGAACGCGCCCGAAACCAGCCAGCCTCCGATCCAGCCATACGCCGCATCTCCGGCCCAGCAACCTACAAGTCCCGATGGCCAAGCCAAGGGCTGGAACCAACAAAACGCCCAGCAGCGGCCCGTCTCGATGTCTCCTGTCCCACAGTACACCCCAGTGTCGCACTTCAGTGGTGTGAGCGGGGAAGGCGCGCGGCATGAGGCCTCGGCTGTGAACGCGAGAGGGACAGGAAATAACGCGGCTGAGTTGGGTTGATGAAGATTCGTCGAGAGCGGTCTCGCTCAGCTACGAAGTTGGCGACCGCCGTGGTGTAACTCTGCATGGTCGTTATTACGGCTCTCTGTTGCGACGGAAACGCATGCCAGGTCTCGGACGGTGGGGACCTGCACGTGTGCACAATCCAAAGGACACAGTCAACGCAGAAGTCAGTTGAGGGTAATAGTGGGATTCCAATCACGAGAAACTTGACAGCTTCAACGCGTAGAAGTGGAAGGCGGTGTCATGTGTGGCTGGGGAGCTTCAGAAAGCATGATAATTAACAGCCCTCAAGCTCCAGGTTATATTCGTTAGTAGGTACCAGTAGTTACACTCATCATGTCAAGCTCATCCCAAATGCTCATCAACATCGCTCAAATACGCGATACAACCCCTTTAGATCAGCAACCTCCAGCACAGCCGCCTTCATCATCGATGTTGTCGCAACTAACCGCGCCTTGAAGGCTGGAAAGAAGATATGCTCGACGGCCCAACGCACGTTTCTCCGCCGCATTGCGATCTCCTCGTCCATGTTCGCCGTCTCCTCGTTGTCCTCGGCGCCTCCGATGGTTGGCGGCAGCTGCTCGGGCACGTAAAAGGTCGCAAGCTCTTTCAAAAAGAGCTCAAAGCACGGCTTCTCATCATTCCAGTTGACGCATGGCCCAAGGCGGAGCAGGAAGCGGGGCAGCTTGACCATGGGCGGAGTGTAACCCTTGATCAAAAGGGGAATGCTGAGTAGCTCTCCCGCAGGGCTGACTTCGAGGGAAAAGTATTCGCCAATCATCTCACGCCGCTCAATAAGCTGTGCGGCGACCTTTTCGACGACCACATCCACGTCAAAGTCTTCTTCCTCTGACTCGATGTTGTTCTTCTCCATCTCGGCTCCAATACGAAGGACCTCTCGTAGGTCAAGCGGGGGAGTGAAGCGAATTGTGCCGAAGTTGCCAAAGTCGGTGAGGCCGACTTGATAGCAGTACTCGAAACAGGCGCGGCCATAGTCAATCAAGTACAGCTTCACGCCGCCCTGGATAGCTGCTAAGCGCCGACGCTCGTCGACGACACCGACGAAAGTGTGGTTGGCAAAAATTTCGGTGAGGTCATTGTGCATGTCTTCTCTGACCTCAGCACGAAGCTCTTTGACGCTAGTAAGCTTCATCTGAGCGAAAGGCTTATTCACAATTTCATACTGAATGTTTTCTGAGGCGGACAATGCATTCTCACCGGCGGAGGATGGCGCTTTGGATGGTGTTGCAGCAACTGCCGCAGCAGGGAGCATGCTGGTAATTTTGCGCAAGCTTGTATCAGTACGGACGAGGTTGTTGGAGTTCCTCCGTGGCCGTTTGGAGCCTGGCGTTTGCTTGTCCGGGGTACTTGGGCTGCCTTCAGTTTCCTCCTGATTCGATATGTGCATCAGCTGGCTACCTGGCAGCAGGCTCTGTGTCATGAAGGTGCGGCTTGTGTCCACCTCGGCGAGTTTCGACCGGATGTGTTCACAGATGGACTGGATGATGTCATCCTCGTTGAGGAAGTGCACTTCCCTTTTGGTGGGATGCACATTGACATCGACGCGGGAAGGGTCAATCTCCAGGCTGAGGTAGATAAAGGGGCGGCCTCCCTTTGGCAGAAATGTGGCGTATAACTGCTCAAGGGCCTTCTTGATGTTGCTAGAGTCCACGGACCGGTGATTGATGAAGAGGAGTAGAGTAGTCTTCTTGATGTGATAGTTGGCATTGGTTGCCCAGCCGTTCGCTCTGAAACCCCAACGGTCTTCAGAGGTGTCAAACTCCATCAACTCGTTGGCAACGCTTGATCCATAGATCTGGCGAATGCGATCGACCTCGGTGGCAAGTGCTTGTATGGAGATGCTTGTGCCCGACTCACCATGCTTCTTGCAGGAGAAGCCCACTCCCTTACAGTGGATGGCGTAGCGGCCCACGACGTCAATGATTTTGTTGTACTCTTCGGCGGGCGATCTGAAAGCTCTTCTACGGGTCGGGACGTTGAAGAACAGGTCTTCGACACTGATCTGGGTGCCCTGGCGACCGGCGGTTGGCTTTGGTTCGGCGGGCTGACCGGGTTTTGCGGGCGCCAGCTTGCCATCGAGGTAATGAGCACGCCATGCGCAGTTGGAATCACTGGTCTTGGTGGTGACGGAGAGGTGTGCGATATGGCTAATACTTGCTAGTGCCTCGCCTCGGAAGCCATATGTGGCGATGGAGGTGAGGTCCTCGAATGAGGTAATTTTGGAAGTGGTGTGACGCTCGCAGAGAATCTCCAGGTCACCTTTCTGGACAGAGGTCAGAGCAAGCTTGAGGGTCAAAGATGCGGAGCTGAGCTTACTTGGATACCACAGCCGTTGTCGGTGATTTGCAGAAGTTTGAGGCCGCCCTCCTTGACAAGGACCTCTACTGAGGTGGCGCCTGCATCGACGGCGTTCTCAATCAGCTCCTTCAGGGCATTGACGGGAGCGACGATGATTTCTCCAGCAGCGATTTTGTTGACGACGTTGGGGTCAAGGGCCTAGCAGCGGGGTTTAGAAAATGACACATCAAACGAGGCGCAAAAGTGCAGCTCACGCGAATGCGGCGGGGCGCACGAGACTCATCGGGATCTTCCTCCGCCTTTCGTTTCGTGCCGACAGGGGAATCGGTATCCATCACGTCGGAGATTTCCTCTCGATCTAGCGCGGGAGGTTGGGTCTGGTAGGTGCGGGCATTGAACTGAGACGGGGAGGTGTGGTGTGGTATTCTGGTGGTATTCGCGGTGGCGTCCAGTATTCGCAGCGATGGAAGTGAGGCGAGGACGGAATTCCCACGATTGGTAGATGGGCAATCTCCTGACTGTGTTTCCTTGCCTTGCACAAGTGCAATTACATGTCCACCTGTCTGTCGTAGGTCGGTGCAGTCGTGTCTTGCCTTCCTCGGCCACGGCTCCTGAAAGCGTGGCCGGGTGGGGCCTACGTCGCGTCTTCAGATGCGTCATCACGTGAGTACTTCCTTAATCAGCAAAACCACTTAAGGTTTGCTCCCTCAACCTGCCTGCTACTGCAGGGGCCATGCTGCCAATGCAGGCAAGAACGAACCGGGCTACTTTCGTCCCAGCTTGACGTCCGTACGTATCCGTACTTTGTACGTCTTCCTCGCCGTGACATATGCAGCGCTCGTTCGTACGAATACCTACAAGTCTTCTATCCTTGGTCATTCCAAGCCACCGTTTGACCGACACATCATTGGAACCTTTGACGACGTCAGGCTTTTCCAAGACATCTCGTATCCATGACTCTGCCTCCCCTCCGCGATTCATTCGACAGGCGCAAAGTGCACCTCACAATGCTGCAGCCACAGAACTACGCCTCACACAGCCAGATGCTCTTTGCCTTATGATGCAGCTCCTTGCGAGACATCTCGGTAATCCGCATTTCGCATGAAATTCGCGAACGGGGCTCTACGCCAGCAGCACGGCCTCTGGCCTCCCGAGGCTTCTTCTGAATCTGGGCTGCCGCCCATCTGATCTGCCATGGACGGCCCTCTTGTTCAAAGGTGACGGGACGCCCGCGTTGCAACACCACGACTTGCAACCTGCACTACCGAAATTGCTACAACTCTGATCACCAGTCGTCAACTAAGATACCCCCACCAAATCGTTCCTGACAATGTGCGAAGACGGCAAATCAGAAGCCACAGCAGAGGCCGGGGCGACCTCGTCTCGCGTCCACCCGCCGAGTACAAGGTGAGTCCCTGATGCAATCGGGTCCACCGCTGGGTGTCACGTCTGACAGCCGCCTTAGCGGACGCAGCGGACGGAGCTCAAGACTGCCCACGCCGGAATCTCTCCTCCAGGACCCAGATGGCCGCCGTGTTGCTCGCACTTTTCTTGCCGACAGCTTGATAGACATGCGCCTTCCACCTCGAGCAAGCCCATCGTCTCCTCGACCAAGAAAGAAACGGGGCATTGACCAAGTCGTCAGTGGTAGCTTGCCTCCATCGCCAGACAAGATGTTTCTCGAGCTAGACGAGCAGCATGAAGAGGCTAAGAGGGCTAGACCTACTACCCCCGTCGCACACCGAGACCCCAAACCTGAAGAAGTCGTTGTCGAGGGCCAAGACAGCAAGAGGCAGAGAAGACTGCCTATTCGTGGCAGCAACCCTACGCCCGAGGCAGCACCGACATCCGCGGCTCAAACGACTGACAGTGGCGGCAACGGCACGTCGAGCAGACGGCCCTACCAGTCAAGCTCGAGCCCAGAGCAGCAAAAGGGTTGAGATTGAGAAGCAAATTTCAGTTCCCGTCCACCCACCCACCCCATCTCATGATGCCATGCTTGCAGTAGCAGGACGACCTACCGTCCAACGTCCACCGGCAGCGCAACATCGCCCCTCTCTTATCAGACTCGACTAACAGGTGGTCTAACGGCAACCTTGGCCCCCAACAGGGCCGTCACCCTCGCGTGTCTGGCGGCCTGGCCTTCCTGGTGGGGGCTTCACCGTCCGCAGCAAGCCACACACTACTCCCCAACAAGACTCACCAGCGACGCAGCATCCAGAGAGACCCTCCCTCATCTCGTTCAACTCGCCAGGCGCTGAGCAAGACGACATGAAGCCGTTTGGGCAGGCGTATAGCGCACGTCGCTCGCTGCAGCAGGCCAGCAAACCCACGTGTGTGGTCGACGTCCAGCGGTCGGCACCGCCACCGTCCGGCGCCCCTCCCTCATTTCCCTTCCCCGGCAAACAGGCGGCCACAGGACGTGTTCGCCATGCGAGGTCCGTTTCGAAACAACCTTAACGCTCGACGCCTTTCCTGTTGGAGGTGCGACCCCCAACTGAATAACGTGCCACGGTGCCCAGTTCAGCAAGCATCGCCTCCCCCTCAGGGCATCTGGGCAGCTTAGCGCGCTGGAGTTGAACACACCAAAACGGCAGAAGCCCAGAAATAGCCAACATCATGAAGATCTCTCGGCCGCGCCTCTTTTGTTTCAGGTCATTCTTCTAGCCATTTTTTTG